GACCACAGCCGACAACAGCCGACCACGCAACCACCAGACCCTCTAACGGAGCGAGATCTATTGCAATTTACAATAAGACAGCGCCGCAAGTGTTGTCTCGGTGTGTGTGATCTCTGTGTGTGTGGTCTCTGCGTGTGTGGTCTCTGTGTGTGTGGTCTCTGTGTGTGTTGTCTCGGTGTGTGTTGTCTCGGTGTGTGTGATCTCTGTGTGTGTGGTCTCTCTGTGTGTGTGGTCTCTGTGTGTGTTGTCTCGGTGTGTCTCGGTGTGTGTTGTCTCGGTGTGTGTTGTCTCTGTGTGTGTTGTCTCGGTGTGTGTTGTCTCAGTGTGCGTTGTCTCAGTGTGCGTTGGCTCTGTGTGTGTTGTCTCGGTGTGTGTTGTAGCGGGAGGGGGAGGAGGAGCCGGGAGGAGGCGGAGTGAGATATAGAAAAGAAGAACCCCACACTAAGATGTGGGGAAAAAGAAGAACTCTTGCTTTACCACTCAGCCACTCAAGGCACCAGGTAACTCCTCACCTCCTCGAGCCTTTGCCATTCCCTTCACGCGTCGTTGCAGTTCCCTCAGCTCCCCATTCAACTGCCGCAGCAGGCGGTCGTTCCGCCGCCGCTGTAGCAACTCCACCCGCTCGTCGTCGGAACGCGAACGCTGCTCGTCCATCGCGGGCCGGTGGGCTTCGGGCGGAGCGTTCGGAGCGTCCGCTTCGCTGGCGGCGGGCCCCGTGGCCCTGGGCGAAACAGGTGCGTTCCCTTCAGCTTCTTCAGCTTCCAGCGCCAGCAGCTCGGGGTCAGCCTCGCACCGCTCCGCCTCAAAGCGGCAGACCGCCCGCGCGTGGAGGAGGCAGTGATGCCCGCGCTGCATGGCGTCCACGGTCGCCTTCCGGACCTCGGCAATGCTCGCCATGATGCGAGTCGTGGCTTTTCGCACCAATCCCACGGAGAGCTTGAAGGTCTCTGCATCCACTGTGCCAAGGATCTTGGCCATGTTGAGGTTCGCTTGCAAGGTGTGGAGGGTGCTGGTCGTGTCTCGCCGAACTTCGATGAGTGCCTTTCCTGTATGCTGCAATCGCGAGGCTTCGAAAGTACAAGAAAGAGCCACATCTGTGAGAAGCAGTGCACACGGCACTGAAGCAAACTGCGCTGCCAATGACAAACTAGATTCAGCTACTTCCATCGATGCTTCAGAGAGGGAGGGACAAATTTCTCCAATTTCTTGGCTCAATGTGAGTAGAGCCTCTCCAGCTTCTTGTGCTGTGGCCAGCATCTCCACCGAATCCTTTTGACTTAAAGGTCCCAAGTGCTTGATCTTCGCATCAGCCTCGTCGGCCCGGCTGAGCAAACTCCGCATGTCCTTCACGAGCTGTTGCAAGCGGTCCAGGCCACTGCACACCTCTCTAGTAGCATCCACTTGTTCGGATGGTTCAAGGGCACCAGAGACAACCTCTTGCTGTCCTCAGGTTTGGACGCCCAAGTTGCTTGATCCACCGCAAGAGTTTAGAGAGTTAGAAGAGTCATCTCAAGCGTTAGAAAAGGGAGTCATCTCAAGCGTTAGAAAAGGGAGTCATCTCAAGCGTTAGAAAAGGTGCAAAAGTACAACAATGCAACATGCCTGTATACTGAAGGCCCCTACTTTCTGAACAAAACATCGAACGGGATCAAACCGATAACAGCACCAGAAGGTGAAAGGGTTTTCTTTGACCCTTCGTCTCCAGTCTCCTCTCGCTTCTCCTTTCGCTACCTTGGTATTCTTGGTCTCCTTGGTCTCCTTCATCTCCTTTTGACGCTCCTCCAAGATGTGCGCATAGGCATCTTGAAGCTGCTGGAACTGGAGCTTATCACCACCCTTATCAGGGTGTAGCCGCAAGCATGCTTTTCGGTAGGCGTTTCTGAGCTCCTTGTCACTGGCAGATTTGGAGACACCTAGAATCTGGTAGTGATCCACCTTCTCCCACGCATCCAGCAAGCTGGCCAGGCCGCGTTTCAACTTCAAGAGCTGCACCAGGTATCGATCCATGAAACGATTCTCAGCCTGCAACACCTCCTTCTTGGCTTCCGAAAACTCCTCCTCTGCAGCCAGTGCAGACCTTTCGAGCTGCAACAAGATCCATTCATCTGTAAACTTGCTGTGGCTCTGCTCAAAAGAATCGAAACACCAAAGGCATCGAAGAATTTCCCGTCTCATCGCAGACTTCAGAAAGGCATCGCCGGCGCCGCTGGACTCGAGACGTCCCAAGGCCACCTCCACCTGGGCCGCGTTGGCCTCGTTCAGGGTCACTTTGCGTTTCTTTACAAACAAAAAGAACTGAGAACCTGGAACCTTCAAGGGGGGCAAAATGCTCGGACTCACTCTGAGGGTTCCCCTTGCTGGTTCCCCTAACCAAGAACCGAAGCCGGAAAGAATGGCCAGTGTGGTATTCTTGGGCCGCTCTGCCTGAGAAGCCAGCAGCTCATCCTCCAGACTGTTCTCTCCCACAGCCTCTTGAAGCTCCTGCAGTGCACAAGTAGCAGCCAGGCAAGGAGACTCGAGATGCTCTGCATGCAGGGAAGGAGAAATCTCTCGCAGCGACGGATCTGTCAGCAGCCCAGAGATCAACGCCATGGCCCGCGTTGAAGCACTGTCCGGCACGGGACCGGCCAAACGCAGCTCGGTGCTCATCTCACGAAGCCAGGCGTCAGCGGCCAGGCGCATGAAGTTCGTAGAAGATCGACCTTCCAACCAGCTGAGTAGCCACTCGGCAGGCCGCGAAGATTTCTCGCCAGGGCAGTGGCTAAGGGGGCCACCACTCAAGAGGGCAGGACCACCATCGTAGGCCACCAGTCGAAGCGTTGGCTGGAGGTCTTGCAACTGCAACTTGGGTGGCAATTGCTGCTGTACAGACTCCAAATCCATCGACTTTGAGACTCTCCTTTCACCTGGGAGTCCCTTCACCTGCTTGAGAGCTAGGCTTCCTGAGTATCCTGAAGATCCCGACCCTGACAACATGGAGTCTGGTGGGTGCAAGGCTTCCGTTCGTCCGGGTATCGCACGAGGGTTCCCAGATGCATCGCGGCTTGACGTGGCTTGTTTTGTTGAAGAACTGCTTGGGGCCGCTGAGTTGACCTTCCCAACCTCTTCTTGTGGAGTCTGGTCTGCACACAGGGGAGTTGGCCGCCTGCGCCAGCTGTATGAAACGTCTTCTTCATCAAGCACCTTTCGCAGCTCATCACTCACCAGGTCTCGCAGGTTAGACTTTTCTGGCGCTTTCATCTCTACCTCGCTGCTTTTCTGAGCTATGCGTCCTGTTGGTGGCTTGCGACCAGCGTCTTGCCCTGGCGCTGCAGAGGCTGCGCCGGTGGCACCAGCTGCGACTGGCGCCCTCCGTCCTCTGGCCTTTGCCACAGCTGCTCCCTTTGTCTCAGCGCCTTGTGCACCTTGGACTGGCCTCTGCTCGTCTTTCTTCACGTACCCTCCACGCGCCGCCACGCCCACGGCTCGCGGCTCCGCCACGCCCGCGAGCGCAATTGACGGCAGCTTAGTTGATGTCATCGGCGGAGAGCTGCCAGCGCGCGGTGGCTCCCGTTGCGCGCGTGGCGCTTTGGGGTCCAGCTGAGGCAGCTTGACACGCTCGGAGGCAGAGCGGGAGCGAAGGCCGGCCATAGTGACATGGCGCAAAGCGAGGCTGACATCGGCTTAGGCTACAAATCCATTCATCCTACGTCTTTACAATCGTCAGTTGTATGGGTGGGGAATGGCCCACTGGCTTGCGGAAACATAGGTGAAAATGCTCGCTGCCATGTCAGTTCAGCATCTGAACTCGACCATGTGAGCCTCACAGCTGATCAGCACGTACCAAGCTCTCTGCTCAGCAAACTTGTGGCCTTGAGCCCTCAAAATCAGCGACAAACCACGCGCCTCAGGGTAGAAGTATCGGATGAAAAGCTTCATCTCCTCAAGACAGCAAAGCTCTGAAAGCTCTGCAGCCAGCAAGCTCTGTTGCATTTCCAGCATGCCTTCTCCAGACTGATCAACAATCAAAACATCCACAAACATCCACATCAAGCCTGTGAAGCCCTTCACCTTGCCAAGGGCCAATCCACCCGCCGGCCAGCACGAACACGGCCGACCGCTCCTGCAGGCCAATGCGGATCAACGCAGCCTTGGTGTTGCCGCCGTACTCCAGGCCGTCGCAAAAGCCTTTCGGCTCTCCGGTTGGCGTCGGTTGCTCATGAGGTGTTCATAAGTTGAGAAGAGAAGTTGAGAATGTGAAGGACCAAAAGTTTGCCAACTTCTGGTCTCAAAAGTTCGTGATTCCTATCTACCACCTTCTCGCTTGAATTCCCCCCGTATAAACCCTCCCCACCTGCACCCAGCGCCACGACATTCTTCAGAGCGCCGCACAGCTCAACACCTGCAAGGGGTCGAGCTGGGAGTGAAAACAAAACAAAGTTTCTGAGACGTCAGATATTCAAAGGATCCCAATCACGATCATATCCCCCAATCGGAACGCTTTTCAGAGGACACCAGTGTCCTGAATGTGACAGCCAGTACGTTTCCCATTTCTGGTCAACCAACAATCCCTATCATGGACCGCAATGCTGTAGGAGCTGCAGGACCTGCAGGAAGAGATGTATGTTTATCAGGTGTGCTATGCTGGTCTTCGGTGTTGGCTCCTGCGAAAGCACCAAAGATGGTCAAATGATGAGGATCTTTGACAAGGGACTCCTTTCACCATGCCAAACCATGCCCATCGCCTGTCTCAAGATTGGAAAGCCTCTACCCAGTGAAGATCCCAAAAGAACTATATAGACTAGCAGGATGTTGCTACTGGTTACTAGTTGTTACTAGACCCACTTTAAAGCTTTTTGGAGGTGCTGCACTCACTCCAATCCTCCAACCCTGTGTATCCACAAACATCGGAACAATGGGCACCTGGGATGTCATCCACGGCGGTGACACGGAAGGTGCGGCAGTCGAACCTGACGCAACTCGAGTGCCAAAGCTTTGCAATAAGCCGGCATTCACAGCCACCACCAAGAACTTGTTGTGGAGCTAATCAACCTTCAAAAAAAGGATCCAATCCTGGGGTAACTTGGTCTTGCCATGTACTGGATGACCAGGGTATCTATTCAGAATGACCATCTATCCTTCTACTGCTCGAGGGGCCTTTGTGGCTTTATGTCATCTTTCCAGGATTTTCTCATAGAGTCGGAGGTGCCTTCTCATCGACTTTTCTCTGATTTCAAAAAGAAAAGTAGGCAAAGCAGACAAGGCGTCGGTGGGTCTCGTCCATGGTCTAGAAGAGGTGGACAAACTGAGATGCTCTACGACGGCGTCGAAGGTATGCGGGGTTGCCACACACTTTCATGCAAGAACACCTGAAACGCGGGATGCACTTGAAGGGGCCCGTGACATGACACAACCATGGAGTGGCCGTTGCTATTTCTCTTTTGTTCTTGGTTGTGATATCTAGCTCACGGGTTGTACGCAGGGTTCACCCCACCAGAAGACAAGCACAGTAGCAACTTCACAAGCATCTGCTGGTACTTCTTGTCCTGCAGCGGGTTTCAGGCGTGGCAAAGGTGATCGACACTGGAATCATGCCGATGGGGTGGTCACAGGGGAAAGAAGGAAACCCTTCCGTGTGCTGTATTATCAAGAAGAAACTAAAGACTTCCAGCCTTCCAGCTATCCCCATCCGACTACATCTTTCGACGTCTTTCGAAGAAAGTTTTGATGTCCATCTTTTCTCCAGATAAAATCTTCCCGGTCCCATAGTTGCTCAGTCCACTCATATCAAATGTGTTCAAGCGCATCTTTTAGTGAAGTCTAAGGTGCCTAGGTAAATGCAAATCTTGTCGTGCAACATCATGATTTGGCAAAGTTTCGTGTTGCTTTTCATGACCCTTTTCTCGAAAGTCCACAACATTGCCCCTGAAGACATTGTGGATGGTTGAAGTAGGTTGTTGTGGCTGAAAGGGCGATGTTGTTCCCGTCTGGAAAGTAAACCAGTAGGTTGTTGCCCCCCCAACTCTTGAAACACCCACCCAGCCTTGACCGGCCCCAACACGCGCGGTGGCACGCTTGGATCAACCAGTCCTGGATGCCGAGGGTCGCCTCACAGAACTCCCCAGCTGCCACCTCGTTGGCCACCTGGGAGCAGAGTTTGGGAGGCACCTCACTTGAGCTTCTTTACTCAAGCGTCTTGGTTTCTGCTTTAGCACAGAGAACAGCAGGTTTGACAAGTGGAGCGGCTGGTGAGTGGATCCAGCATTTCGAGCAACTCACCAGCTGAGAAAGAAATAAACACTCGCGAACTCCAGTGTGACCTCCGAAGCCCCGCACTTTTGAGGTTCCAAAGGGATGGGCATCCAATGCAAAAGTTCCATAGGAACCCTATTGCAAATTCCTCTAAAGATGAGAGAATCAATCCTGACAGCTGGGGCTCCACACATTGGCGCCCATGAGCACACCAACCTACACAAGGGTGACTGCAAACACTCCCGCTCGGGCCTGGAACCCCGGCGTGAACGTCCCCCCATCAGAGAAGGAGCACCAAAAGAAACTTCCGCGTGAGTCTGTGCCTGCCTCATGATTCAGCAACTTCCGCAGCAGGTCAGAGCAAAGACCCAATTTGCCGCCCTCCAACTCCAAGCCGCCCTTGATGAGGCCTCAGCTTTCGTTCCGGACCGCGGCCGCGTCAACCTCGTCCCCGGGCGATGGAACAATGGCGGTGCGTGGGTGCGGGGACTGGAGATGGAGTGAAAGAAATGATTGGCTGGTTCTGACCTAGAAAATGCGTTTCGAACTGTGTGGCCCAAGCCCAACATAGAGGGACACACTACTGACTCACTAGGCAGCTTGCAGCGTGGAATGACCACCAGTAGACTTTCTTTGCAGCTGCCAGCGAGGCCGCAGGGCCTCCGCCCAGAGCCTTGGCTGAGCGTCCCAGCTCACCGAGACGCAGCCCTCCTTGATCTTGCCCATGTTCTGCACAGTCCGCGCCTGAGGAGCCGGCACATTCGCAGGCGCATGAGGCTTGTCGTGAGGGGTAGCAGAAGGCTTTCAGGCTAGAATCTGAGGGAGGTGGAGGGAGAAAGTGCATGCTCCATGTGTTGAAGAAGGGTCTCTTTCAATGGTGGCCCAACTCAACCCAACAAAAAGGCTGAGCTTCCACCGCAAAGGCCGCCCACCGGGAAGTCTACCCACCCCCCTTGTTGCTGAGCTTCTCGCGACAAACTGATGAGGCAAGACCCAGATCAGGACATCCGCGTACATCACGGCCTGTCTCATTGGACCATCGTCAGCTCTGGGCCAACCCCGTCGCGGCCGAGTCGTGCGAGTCTCCCGAAAGAGTCGCGGCGGGAGAGTCGTCTGGTGTCCTGGTGTCCTGGGTGCGGATCCAAAGGCTCCCGAAACGGGCCAACAAAGAATCTCCTTTGAAGTGTTATAGTATATATATATATATTATATATATATAAGGTAGATCATGGGGGGTTCCATATAGTTATATATACATATATATGAACCATTCCACAAAAAGGACAAGTTCTTCTCATCATGGTGAGCGTAGAAAGGGTCTGTGGCCAAGCTAGCTCCGCTCCCTCCGGCGGCTCCTTCTTCAGGTCTGGCTCCGCTTTGACGTGCTCGGGCAAGGTGATCCCCGGGAGGTACTTCACATTCTCCTTGCCCGGTGGCGGAATGATACACATGGTCCAATCACCCTTGACTTTGTTGTGTCTCGCAAACGGACAGCTGTATGGCAACAGGACGATCCTTCAGCAAACATGGCCGCTTTAACAATAAAAACAAGCGAAGTCCTTTCCAATCAACAGGGTACTGGGGAATTACTGACTGTCTGTCTTGTTGGAGCATGGGTGACTAGTAGGTGTTTGGAAGAATCACCTAATCGTGGGCCTGAAGGCCTTCGGTTTCGTGCCTTGGTCTCATTGAAGACTTCTGAGAGCTTCCTCTTCACACCCTTGTGCTGCACCTCCTCCTCGAACATCCAGACCTAGCTGTCCAGCTGAATCGATGATCCACGAGTCTAAGTCTAAGGACCGGAGACCGACCCCCAATACCACGACCCTCCTGGCTTCCAGTTCGCGAAATAGACCCATCTACCCAGACGATGAGGGCGAGATCTCGGAGGTCCACAACTGGAGCTCCCTGCGACGGGCTCGGACTTTCGCCACCACTTCCCTCCCCAGACGTTCGGACCACTGAGAAGCGCGGCGACGGGTCCTCTTGAAGGGTTCCCAGTTCGTGATTGGTCTCGACCAAGGTGCAGTCAAGGTATCCTCAAACTCTGGGTGTCGCGATGTGTTGCCTGACCGCAAAGCGCCAGAGATTAAGCTAGGTCAAACCTGCTCGCATGCAAAAGGGTTGTTCCTTGTACCCTAAAGGTCAACCTAAGCGTATTCACCTCGGCGTCGTTTGGAAACCAAACCTCAAACTAGGCTAGCCAACGACTGGGCAGGTGTCCAACACAATTAAGCATGTCTACAGTTTCACTGATCACTGATCACTGATTGGGGACCTCTTCACACAGGCCTGCAATGATAGTGGCAATGGCCATGCCCCAGTTGCCACTTCCCACAACCTCAGTTGACAGTCGAGGGAGACCTAGAGCCACCCAAAACCCTCCCTCTGGGGAGCCTCTCAGAGCTGTTGTATTCTCAAACTGAACGAGCGGGTGCACCTGAGCTCTTAGAGTCCACCTTCTTGGATCTTGATCTGACAGATTGCACTCGACTCAGACTCGACCTCTTCAGCACCCGGCAGTCACGCTCTTCTTTGCCATGGTAGCGAATCACCGCGCTGTGCGGGACGGGGAGTTGCTGGCAGCACTGGGTGGTCTCGAGCCAAAGCATCCGCGAAGTTTGTTCAGGGATTACTACGCTTCTGAGGCTGGAATTTAAGTAGACATACACGATCACACACAGCAACTGTTTTTTTCAAGTTAGACAAAAAATGGTGTAGTTGGAAGGTCGGCACAGGACTTCCGAGTCGACACTTTCTATGTCCAGTGCGGTTTGTAAATCTGATTACACTCTTCAAGACCAACCTCACCTCTCATCACCTGGGTATCGCTTTCAGAAAGGCATGGCCTTTTCATCCTCTGGTTTCATCCAGAAAATCCGCATGCACTTCGTTTGTGGATCCTTCCAGAGCTGGTGCCAGACCGGGTGTCCCGTTCCGCTGCTGTGGTTCGGAACAGGCCTCCGACCTTCCCCCAAACGGTGGTGACACCCCGGGCGCCTTCGAGAGGTCCAGCACGCGTCGCGGTGACCGTGCGCACCGGTGATGTCGGTGCGACCGCCTCTGTCGCCCAGTTCTTGCGCCATGAACTTGGCCAAGTGATTCACATGTTGGACCAAGGGGGTGGTCCTTCTTCGCCAACATGACACAACATGTGAAAACACCACAACATCTGAGACCTGAGACCACTAAGAATCTACCAGTCACATATTTAAAAAAAGAACGACACGAAACCATGAACAGACATGGGTGCCAGGCACAGGAGCTGCACAATAAGCAAAAAGAGAGTCGAACGGGCCCTCTCCAGGGCAGGCCACCAAGCACATCTTCGTTCGTGAAACAAGTGGATGAACGAACCCCGCATGGGCCCCGGCAAAGCAGGACACCTCACAGGAACGAAAGAGAGCAGGACAATTAGATAGAAAAACATATCAATGGCATAGGAAAATTACCCCAGCATAGAAGTGCAGCCGTGCAGCCTGTGCTGTCGCGAGACAACAACGCCTGCAGAGAGCTGGGACTTCCATCGCTGTGCAAGCTGTGCTTCGAAGCGAAGTAAAGAAAGATACAGTATGTCAATTACACATTAGAAGAAGCAACCAAAAGACTTCCTGTCATAAAATTCTCAATTGATTTGATTCAAACTAAACCACTTTTTGTGTGTTGCAAGACATGAGTAGACCAGGTTCCTGAAGTCTTGAGAGCTCTTTGGATCCACTTTGCCTCCAAGGAGAGCAGCCCCCACAGCCGCGGGTCTCGTGGCCGGGACCCGCGGCGTGAGCCGGGGCAGCCGGCCCGCCCGGCCGCTTCCCAGAGGCGGGGCCTCAGTGAGCTACACTGCTGGAAGCAAACCAGGCCCTTCCGGGTGGTTTCGGGCCTCAGGGATTCGCTATGTTCTGCGCCACATACAGTCTTAAGTGAAATGATCTCCACAAACAGTCTTTAAGCATTCTAAATGCAGGAGCTTGAACTTAGTTTCGGTGAACACTGTGTACGACGAACGGCAAGCATCAAGCTGAATCTCCAGGAAGATCCAACAATCCAACACATGTCCTTTCTGCACTGCTATTTATTAGCATTACATTGCCCAACTGATATTCGTGCATATGTGTCCACACATATAATATGTAACAGTATGTATGTATACTATATATAGGATCGTAAGCCTGACACTGGCGTGATGTCTGCTTTCTGTATTCGCTTCCTTCCCGCATGAGAAAAAACCTCGCGACCCCTCAGCGCATTCTCGCTTGCTCCACTTTTTCAACCATCGGATGCTCGCTGCAAAAGGGGCCCATCAAGTTTGAGCTCCACAGGGGCGCCTGGTGAAGACAGCCGAGGGCAGGTTTCAACCAAAAAGGGCGTCAGGTATGACTCGACTCGACCGTTTGCAGGCATAAACATCCCAGAGATGCTGAAAGAGGAGTCACTTGTTTGATATGTTTATAAAGTGTTGTCCTTTTCGAGAGCCAATGTGATCAAGATTCACAAAAAGAACTCATGCATAATGCATCATAATCCTGAGTCACCAAAACACTTGTGCCTGTGGCCACCTACCTTGAGTTGCAAGTGCAAAGCAAGAGCGATGGGTCCATCACATCTCGGACGAATCAAAAAGACTGGCGCCTTCCAGCAGCACCCAACCAGCAGAGTGATGTCCAGGATCCAATTCGGCCCACAGACCTGGTGTCCAATCAAGGTCTGACTGTGACCCAGACCTCTGTATAACACCTCACATGGGTACATGGAGTTGACCGCCCTGTTCGTAGAGCCAAAGAGGTAAATTTGGGGGACCATGCCATCCACTTCCATCCACTTCCATCTCTTCCATGTCTTCGATGTTCGTCAGAGTGTACCTTCTCACCTCGTACTCGGGGGCGGGATCCGACGGAACCGTCCGGACGGCTGGTCTCCGCCGAGGTCGCCGCGCCTCCCATGGGACCGCGCCAGCGCCGGGCCGTGCAATGCAAACGCTTCGGCGCCTTCTTGGGCCTCCTTGGGCCGGGCGGTGCGCTGGGCGGCAGGGCCGCGGCCGCGAGGTGAGGCGGCCCTGTTCGGGTTTGGGTCAAGTAGTGGTCAAATAGAGATTGAAAGGGATGGAAAAGAGGGAAGAGAGTACGGGTCCGACCCACGCTTTTTGAGCCGTGCTGAAGAATCCCGGTGCGTAAGTAGAGGCAAACACTCAAACCAACAAAACCACTTTGTCAGTAGAAGGTACAATGTATTTTTCAAACGGCGGATGAATTGATGCTCTCCCAAGCTTGCTAAACACCAACGGCCTTATCGCCAAATGGCCAAAGCAGCTTCTTTACAAATCACTGCAGACCGCTGTTCATGCAGACACAGGTCTGGTCACTTCTGTCCCTTTTGAGTTTCTTTTCTCGCAGAGGTCAATGTGCTCTGCGAAGATATTCATCCCAAAGAGGGTGTTTAAATGACCTTGTGCTCTGTGTCCAATTCTTTTAAGAATGGCCTGCAATTTAAATTCCCTTTCCAGGTCGTCACCAACATCTGCAGCTGTGGATCTTGATTTGCAGATTCCTTGGTCGCACAGGAATATTCTAGATCATTACAGCCCCACATGAAAGGGTGCAGTGCAACAATTCGCTAGAAGCCGCCGGAGCAAAAGCACCTGTGAAAAAGAAACGGAAGAAGGCCACCCAAAAATGGATTTCTAGGCACATGAAATGGTGCATACCCCAAACAGTTTACCGTGATGCAAAAAAGAGACCACTGCACGTCGCCACAGGATAAGCCTTCCAAAACCAGGGAGCCGTGGATCTGGGCCATCCTTCCGGAGGAGTACTTGCAGCACCGTCCACCTGCGGCCATGCCCATGCTTCGTGCCTGTCACGTCTTTCTTTGTGCCCACCAGTTTTTACGTTGGGCCAAGCCACACACCGGCATCTTCCAGGAAGATCCCATCACTCTCGCCCTCACCGGGCTCTAAGCCTGCAAACAGTCAATTCAGATGTGAAGCAAGAAATTCCTGGGCACCTGTCGAGCAGCCCTGCTTTGAATGGGTGCAGCTGCTACCAAACACGTCCAACCAGCTGAGTTGGTTTCTGTCGCCTGCTTCGACTTTCTCGATCTGTGAGTGGTCATTTGCATCATGGCCACAAATACAAGTAAGCCTTGGCCAGCAGTTGGCCCACATGCCAAAGCCACGCGTCAAAAAGACATCAGCTTCCCGACGAAGCTTCATCGGCCTTCATGGTCGCCGTTCCGAGAGGCGTCCGAGTCTGGGACAAGCAGCTGGTACACCGATTTGGCTTGGCAGGTCATAGAGTGATACCTGGACGCTGCCGGGTGGCAGGTTATAGAGTGATACCTTCACCGAAAGGCAACTCCTGCAGATTCTTCCACTGAGATTTGGGCCAACCCGCTCATAGGAGGCCAAAGAGAAATGCCACCCGAAAGGAAAAAGATATAAGCCAAAGATCTACTTTTCTGATTCAGTTGCAACTGGTGAAGAAAAAAATCTAGTCAAGAAACTATCCAGCCATCATGGCGGTTGATCCTGAATCTCCCCAACGCTCCCACTCTCCGGACCTTGACTCCATCTCCTCCATGCTGGTCCTAAACAGTCGGACGGTCCGGCTACAGCGGCTACCCTAGCGAAGGGCCATTGGACGACCATTGGCAGCGTTCCGTCCCCATTCCTCTTCTGAAGCACAGCTACTTTGCTGGTGGCTTCGAGATGCTTCAAGCCAATAATAGGGTCCCCACCTAGTAACTAGTTACAGGCATACATCTTATAGTACCACCTACATTCTTTTTTCCGGCTCCCCATTGAAAACTCCTTGTGGCTTCAGGAAAGATTTTTCACCACAGCCGAGCATCCCATCTTCTTCAGCCTTGGCAAGATCTCGCTGCGCTTCCTCGGAGAAAACAGCTGGCAAGGAGAAATCATGGCAGCCTGAAACTTGGAAGCACTTGATCTGGAGCAAATGGTCATGTCTCGAAGCATGAGAACAATCGCAAGCCCTTTCAGGGGGGGGCCACACTGGAATCCACCAAGCCCTCTGTTGCAAAGAACTGCCCCTTTGCATGTGGCCACTGCGTGCCAAGGCACACTCTGAAACTCTCCACCTGGGGAAAGAAAAAGAACCTAATGATGAAGGGCTGGTAGCAAGGTTCAAGTCCGTTCTTCCTTGCTACCAGCAAGTTTGCAAGTTTGGATTCTTCTGGGTGGATGTTGATTGCAACCACAAGCATCAAATTGAAGATCTCATGAAATTTGCATGCCAAGCCCGTGAGTGCGATAGACTTGAGGTTGGTATTGGATATCTACCATCCACACCATACCTCATAGCGCATTTATACGTAGATCTAATCAATATACCCGCCTGTTGTCGTTCTCGTGCGTGATACACACACACCACCTACGAATGCACCCTCTCTGAGAGCTTGACAGCTGCAGCCACGGGAATTGCAATGAAAGCGGTCACGCCCAAAAATGTCTTTGACCATGGCGAAAGTCAAGATCTTTGGACCAAAAAACACTGACACCTCCCACCAACAGTTCGCCCTTAGATGGGATCATCTGCTGGGTCGTTAGGGCAGATATATAACAAAAGTAAACCTGTGTGTATAAACTTGTTGTGAAACAAACGGGATTTGAAATCGCCCAAAAAAATGCTAGATGATCCTTGGGATTCTTCCCTGCCAAAAGGCGATCCAAAAACACACAAGGCTCATTCATTGTTCAGTCTGCCTGCTGATTAGGAATCTGAGCCCAAAGTGCAGACAGTCCAAAGCTTCGCATCTGCTTTGCAGTTGGAATCATGAACTTGGTTCCATGGGTCTGAAGAAGAAGGGGCAACTGAAAATTCACGCGCTTCTGTCTGAGAACAGGTCTATCAATGTCAAACTCCATCTGAGGCTCTCGCGGCTGCCACCATGCAAGGGAGGTTGCTGAGAGGCAACATATTTTGGTTGGCTTGCACAGTCAATAGAAATGTCACAATGTGTTCCCTCGGCCCAGGTTGACAAAGGATGGAACCCTACCTCTGGGCTAATCCTCTTTGGCCCTCTTGAGGATTCTTGAGGATACTCATTGGGTGGGATTGAACTGGCTTCACACCTGCACACGGATATCGCGCTTGGTTGTTCTTCAAAAGCCTGGAAATGGCTACTGCGCGCACCGGTATGATGGGCAACACTTGACTCGAGCTTTGAGGTTATCCAGCCAGACCGAGGCTGAAAGTCCGTGCCCAGCCACTATTGTCGTAAAGAGTGGGACATCATGCAAATATGTTTGAGATAGTGGAGTTCTTCCTTCGACGGTACTTTCTGACAGAAACTACTTCAAAGTGAGTCCAGATCTAGGAAATATATCTTGTGGCAAGCCTGGGCGATCGTGTTGCCGTGTTGACAACAAGATTTAATAGACTACAAGAAAAGTCAGCAGTACAGCAGAATGTGCGATTCTTCATCGTTGTCAGAAGCCGCTGTGGCAACTGTCCTGTTGTTAATGCTCCAGCTGAGAATGCGCAAAGCTTTGGACAATCTCTATAGTGTGTGATGTCCAGGAGGTAGCTGTTCAGACAGCTTGGTGTATTCTTTTTCAGTTGCGGGAACCACAGATGAGCGTTCTGCCACTGCAGTGAATTATGTTTAAGGTGGTTCTGCACCCGGCAAAGTGGGCATCGGTTGGGTGCTTGGGAAGAGCAACAAGTGGGCTCCTCGGCTGGCGTGCTTGTTTAAAGGCAGAGTGCATCAATGATGAAAGGGGTATGACGGTATCACTCACTCTTCAGCAGCCTTTGAACAATCATATAGAGCTTTAAGACCAGGCTGCAAAAGCATTTTGTCCTCTAAGCGCGGAAAAACCATCGAAAATGCTGGTTCAATATCTTGGAACCATAGAGATTCAAAAGACTCATGGAGAAGCCTCAGCAGAATGCATGGTTGTCTCCTTCCTTGAACCGATTTGGAACTTCAGCAACAGCTTGGCCGTTGCCAGTCGCCTTTCCGTGCTTGGTCAGCTGCCGGATTCCTCCACACAGTGATGCAGGACGAACTCAGCACCCAAAGCTAAGGGTGTCTCTGACAATAGGTGAAACCTGTAGTGACTGGAAAAATAAAGGCGGCCGAAGCCACATCATTGTAAGGGAAGGATCTTAGAGAGCCTCAGGGTACATTGGTCTATGCATATCATCAAGGTCAAAGTCAGTAGAAAACTACGCGAAAAAACGGTGTTGAATATAGTGAAAAAAAGAAACTTGAGTCTGACAGGATCTGAGTCTCTCCTCTCTCTTTTTGATCTAGTTTCGTTTCAAGATCTATATACTCCTCCAGTCTCCGACTTGTCGTTGCTCATGCCAATCCCAGCGCAGCTGCAATGTGCGAGGGGCCCCCACCATTCTGCGCATTGCTGTAGCCCAAGCCGCGCAGGATCTCCGCCGCCCGCCCGCCGCGCCCACCGCTACCTGAATAAAGGGCCACTCTGTCTAGACCTGTCTCAAACGACTCCTAGGTGTCCAGCCCCTGTCAGTCACAGGCCTTGAGTATAAACAGATCTCAGGCAAGTGCAAAGACGACTTTGACAATCACAAGAACAAAAAACATAAGCCCAGGCACCGCAGTGAGTAATGATTGCAGCATCCTTCGCCTCCGGTAGAGTCACTTTTGCAGCTGCTAGCTTTGCTTGGAACTCCTCTGGGGTAGTAGGATGATCACTCTGCTTTTGGCCATCCACGTTCAGTGGGACATTGATCTCGGCAGGCATGGTATCACGAGCATACCGCGCAAAAACAAAGCATGGCATATGTGTGTGTGTGTGCACCGTTACTCCATGATAAAGTCACAGGAAGAACACAGTTTTCGAGGTCATATAAATCAGCATCTATATATGCATTTAGAACCTAAGAAGCTTGCTCCAAGTCCACCTATCAAAGAATGTTAAAACCTCAAATCCGATTTCACCCATCTCCCGTTCCCTTTTTTGACCGGAAGAAATACAAATCCGCGAAACAATACCGTGTCAAGTGGCACTTCCAGGGATCACCGCTGGTGGGCCGCCCTTGCCCTCGGCCACCTCATTGGGATCTCTCACGTCGATCACCAGAGGATCCTTCAAGGCCTCACGGAGCAACACAACCACCGGTGGTTTCACCGGTGACCGGCCGGAAAAACCTTCAAACCTGGAATCTCACACCAATTGTGGTTTCATAATGTAAACCTGGACATCATGAAATGATGTTTGTCAAGAGAGTTGACAGTGACGCCTCGATTCGAATGGAAATCACCTTCTACTGGCTCACATGTGTTTTTCATTTCTGCTGAAGACTCTGGGCTAATCTTCCACCATCTGCTTTCACTTTGTGCAAGAGTCATGTGAAAGCAACCAAGGCAAGAGTGACTGCTCTCCAAACTCACCATGTTTGCTCGCTTTATATAACCCTAGTGCATGAGGAGCAACCGGACAGTTGTTTTGGAATTCATCTCTTCCCATGTCTCGGACCTTCAAAACCTCCACTGTGGCTTTGTCAACCATGGCGCTGACCGCTGCAAACACACTAAGTTTGAGCTTGCAACTTGCGGCCAAATTGATAAGGATACCTTTTGACAAAACAGTGTATCGATCGTGTGGGGTGGGCTAAGTTGCCATTATGGCGCCTCCTCCAACCCAACCCCCCCAAGACATTTTGATTACAGTATTACTCGTTTTTTAAGAGGGGCGGCTCCATTATGATTACTTTGGGGAAGGGTGCATGTCACAAACCACAGTGGGCGCACACGCAAATACAGAAGAAAAACCTTTTAAAAAACTGTACAAAAAGTGGTGAAACAGAACTCCATTGAGCTCAAGTGAATTGAGGGCCTGGCTCTCAGAACAGGAAATTCAACTCATGGTATCTAGGGTTGAGAAGCGGTTTGACTTGCTCGGTGAGAGGTTGCAAGCATTACCATCCATTTTTGCAGCTGCCTTGGTGGCTGGGAGAGATGGTCGGGTGGGGAGTGAAGCTCGCGTGTAAACAAAAACGAATTCCGCAAGTGTTCCTTCCAGCATAGGACACCCCCGCAAAAGCATGGGCAATCTTCCAAGGCATAAGAATCGGAGCGAGCGTCTAATGACTGCATCACGCGAGCACTGGCAAGCAGCAGACTGAATGTGGCATGTGACAGGGAAGATGAAGAGTCGTCGGCTCTTGCAGGGACAGACAAGCAAGCAATACAAAGCCTCAGCTACAGGTGTACAGCATACAGCCCCCGCCACAATGGCGATGAGAGGGGGTTCTCAAGAAAGTGGCCAGCAGTGAGCTGAACCCCTGCACTACGGAACCCCCAGTGGCGAAGAAGGACGGCTTCACGCTGGACCTTGACCACTCCGGATGGACTTGAGGTCCACACCGGGGGAGTGTCCGCTATCCAGCAAAAGCTAACTGGGCACTTTCGAGATTTTGGTGATAGAATTGGAACGACTTCGCACCAGAACGGTCAAGACAGCCTTCGGCCTCGCAGCTCTTGGTTCGGCAAAAAGCTGCAGCTGCCAACTGACCAACAGAAATTGCATAGGAAGAGACCTCCAGTGAATTGAGCCTCACGAGATGGACTCGTGATCCATGCTGGAAAGGCAGGTTCAAGGTCGCATGGGCTCGCGGACGAACCACCGTGATTGGCCTGTTCGGCGGCTGGACCGCCTGTGACTTGGCTCAGACAGTTTAAGTTGTACATGCCTGGCTTGCTGCGTGTGAGCTTTTGAAGAAGGGCTTGTCTCGTTCTGGAAAAGTTCATTCGCGCGCAGCAGGTTGCAGATTGTGAAAGCACGGTCGCGCACGCTTCCCTTTTCGATCCTGCTCCTTGAGCCAAAGCCACAGTTGGTTTAGACTGTCTCAAGGGTTCTCAAAGCTTCGCCAAAGCTTGTCAGCTCTGCTTAAAGGAGTCAAGACTGTTCACAGTCATCTCAAACCTACACATAACTAAAAAGAACTATTTCAAACAATCTCCATGTACACGCTTCACTACCAAAAGGTTCTCTAGGCTTCTCCTAGCCACGTCTAGCCACACGAACCCTTCTAAAGGGTTATCCTGCCAAGGTGGTCAAAGCAAATCACCAACAAAGGACCACAAACCAAAGCAGCTCCAACCCCAAGTCATCAAAAACGAAAATCTACCTAAGAAACAGGCACTAGGTGATCCACGCCCTGTACAAACAGGCTAGGCACTAGCTTTCATACCCCTTCTTGGGTCACATGGCGCCGCCTTCTGTCTCTCCTCTTCTTCTTCTTCTTCTTCTTCTTTTTTTTCTTCTTCTTCTTCTTCTTCTCATTCTCCTTCTTCTTCTTCTTCTTCTTCTTCTTCTTCTTCTTCTCTTCTTCTCTCTTTCGTTTTCTCTGGACAACTAAGGATCAGACAACAATTAAGATCCATACGCCGGTCCTCAAAGGTGATCTCAAAGTCGTCAATCTAAAAGTAAACTCGAGTCCAGCTCAAGCAAAACTCCAGATCCAACAAAGAATCAAGCTCGACCAACAACAAGAACGCAAACAACCAAGAAAGCAAACAAAAGCAGGAGATCTCAGGGTCAGATTCCATCTGCATGGCCTTCAATGTCTCATCATCGGGACCCCAAAAAAAAACCCAAGCACCATCCTCTGACCTTGTCACTTCTGTGCGTGACTGGCACAAAACAGGTCGTTCACAGTGGCCAGCTTTTGCTTGCAGTTTCAACTGCTTTTGGGCGGGGAGCTGCTAGCGGCGGACGAAAAGTCGTGGAGCAGGAGTGCGGCTAGGGAAAGGCAGAGGAGAGTGACTGTTCTGCGCTCTGATGTCCAACAGGTGGTCGAAACCTTTGCGCGTCAATGTGTTTGAACGTGTCAAATTCGTCATATGGCAGCACCCGATCACTGTGTGAGAGTGATGCGTGGGACAAGCCAGTTTTCCAATCGCTGAGCCAAGTCAAGTTGTTTACATACTAGTGCCATTTTGCATCAGGGATGTTTTTGGGAACAACGCAGAAACCCGAGCGCAATGCCAAGTCACGTGAAGGATGTTGCATCCGTGCCATTTTGCATGAGGGGCAGGAAACAGGAAACAAGCAGCAGATAACCATGAAACGCAATAGCAAGAATCAGTGTCGAAGTCTTTGTAGACATGGCGGATGAGAATTTTAGCGCTGCAAACGAACGGAGAAAGCATGCTTCTTGAAGTCACAACAGGCCAGGAGCTCAAGCAGCAGATCAAGGAGAGAAAGCCGTGGGACGAGCTCACTCGCAGCACGACAGGTGTCAAGGTCATTGTCGGAGACACCGAACTGCTGGCCAATGATGCAAAGGTCCTGGACGCTGGAATTGCTGAAGATACTGTTGTGAGTGTTGTCTTCAAACCAAACAAAGCGATATGCGCCAACAAAGACGCGATCGCCAGTCTTTGTGGTATTGTTGGCTCGGACCTGTTGCTGGCGATCGAAATACCAAACACTGAAACGCAGGTTCATCAAAGCGCATTTGAAGACTGCCAGACGTTGGCCAAAGTGACTGTCCCGGACTCTGTGACCCGCATTGGGGTCAAAACCGGAATTTCCACAACTCCGAGAGTGAAGGACAGTGTGAAGTGACCACCCAGGTTCAAAAGGGAGTGTCAAGAGGCATGCACCTCCCGTCCCTCCCCCCGAGGGGGGAGGTAACACACGAAGCACACCATGCGAACCAAGCTCATCAACGGCTCAGCGAAATGAACTAAGTAAGGTGCTTCAAGGAGAGACAGCTCAAGTGACGCATGCTGCAAAGACCTCGTTTAGTCATCTGACAGCATCTGGGGCCCCATCAACTACACGAAAATAGTGAAAGAGTGAGACAAGGTGAAACGCCGTTTTCCTAATTCTGTACACTGTACTCATCCAGATCCACTACGTGGGTAGCAGTCTGGGACTGTCTAACTACTCAGGTCAACGAAAGGCAAGCGGCTCAGCACCATGGAATGGGACTCCTAGGATCAGCACACGGGTGCAAGTCGAGGCACCAGCACGCACAAGCAAGCATAAACGACATTGCATTTGTGGTTATGCTGATCAAGCGGTCCTATTGCAAGTCACGTCCTAGTGACAGGCACTCCTCCTTGGGTCCTCCTGGATGATTTCTTGATGGACAGTAGGCGCGTTTGGACGTTCTACAGGGGTAGCGCCTGACCTATACTAGGCCAGCACACAGGTGCCAACACAGGCCTGACAGCCATCACGTCGCCAGAGCATGTCTTTAATCGAGGGCAGCAAAGAAGTCATCTGCCCATTGATCATCGTCTTTTTGGCTGCGTGGCAGCCACCGTACCCATTTCGGCATTCTAGGTCGCATCTAAGGAATGCATTTGCACGAGCATATGCACCCCTCCAAGTCAAGCTTTTGTCAGTTCTTTCAAATCGATTAAGTTGCGTGCACCCTCCAAATGCTCTTCTTGCAATATAAAGCAGTGTAGGGGGCACGTGACCCTCCATTAAGGAAGTACATTTGAGGAATTTCCTTGATTTCCGTCCTTGAGAGGTCCACTAGTTGCAGCTGCAAACAGCGTTCACAGGCTGCTGATCCCATCCAGGCGAAGTCTGGAGGCAAGTTCAGTTCTGTTAGGCCAGCTTCTAAAAAGCAGCATTCCGGCAAGCCTCGCATCAGTCTGGCAGGTTTGTGCTCCGATAGCTCAAGGTTGATGTGACGCAGCGCTGTGCATTTATGGAAGGCTCGAGGCCATAGCTGGTTGGCAGTGTCGTTGTTGATTCCAACTTGCAGTAAGGCAACACACTCTTCAAATACTTGTGCTCCAAATTCTCCACAGCCAGGGGCGAGGACTCTGCGCAATGCATAGCATCGGCTAAAGACTCTCGTTTGCAGGCTCAGCACTGTGCTGTCTAGATGCACGATCTGGAGGTGTTGGCAGTTGTGCCATGCACACTCTCCTATGATCCGGTAGCCTGCATCGACTTGCACATGCCGTACCCTTGCAAGATGCGAGAATGCTTGTGGGAAGATCCTATCACTGGCTTGAAAGGGGGCTCGAAGGGCTTTGGTTTCTCCTTGCGTTTGTCCCTTGTGTTCAGCTTTTTCGACACAGGGGCTCACAACGACCGTAAAGCAGTTGCAGTCCCGCAGGGTTTGCCAGATGGGATCTACTAACTTCTGTTTCAAATTGCAACAGACAAAATCCAGCTCGCAACAAAACGTGCTGCTTGCGCCTGATTCAGGGAGTTGTTCCATCACTGCATTTTCAAATTCCTGAAGACAGTCATATTCGTGGAGTTCAATTGTTAGCTGGGCTTCCTCCCCAGCCAATGTGGCCAAAATCAAATGGATGACCATTGACCTCTCTTCGCTCCACTGCGAGGTAGACACAGACATATGGTCAGCAAGCATGGCAGACACCACTCTGTGCAGCAGCGCTCCCGTACTGTTGCCTTTTTATATGGTTGTCCCTATACCGACCATCAAGCCAAAATGCAGGCGTACCAGGCCCTGCGTGCGCCATCCGCTGTACAGTCGTACCTAGGCCTTGATGCCAATATTGGTATGTGTCGAGTCTCCGATGTCAGGTCGCAGCCCGTAGACAGAGATCCAGGCTATGCAG